AGATCGTTCACAACCATTCAAACTACTGTAAGGACCAGGCTTTCTTTCTGAATGCAGCAATTCTGAGCTGAGGAGTGACACGGTCTAGATTATGTCTGAAAAGGATCACAGTGGCCGTTATGTTGAGCATAGACTGTAGAATAGGTGGTAGCAAGGGAAGTGGTTTAAAAAAAAAAAAAAAAAGGGGGTTGGATTCTGACATGTCTTAAGGTAGAGTCAACAAATTTCCTGACAGGTTGCCAGGTCTGGCACTAGACTGCTGTTCTGCAGCTACTCCTTATCCTTCTTCTCTTAAGCTTTTTATTTACACATAAAAACTTGTAGCTGGGAGTGGTGGCACGCACCTGTAATCTTAGCTATTCAGGAGGCTGAGGCAGGAGAATCGCCTGAACCAGGGAGGCAGAGGTTGCAGTGAGCTGAGATCGTGCTACTGCACTCCAGCCTGGGCGACAGAGTGAGACCCCATCTCAAAAAAAAAAAAAAAAAGAAAAGAAAAAAATTGAATCATAGACTGATTCTGATTGCTCTTGTCAAAGGCAAGTATCTTGGGCCCCCAAAATCACTAAGGAAAACTCTAGCTGAAAACTGCTTAGGGCAAACCTGCCTCTCATTCTATTCAACGGCTCACTGAGATAGATGCATATCTGACTGCCTCCTTTGGAAAGGCTAATCAGAAACTGGGAAGAATGTAACCGCTGTGTCCCACCTGTCTGTGACCTGGAAGCTCCGTCCCCACTCCCAGGCTTCCTGCCTTTGCTTCAAGCTGTCCCGCCTTTCCAGACCGAACCAATGTACTTCTTACATGTAGTGACTAACGTCTCATGTCTCCCTAAAATACAGAAAACCAAGCTGTGTCCTGACCACCCTGGGCACACGTCGTCCCGACTTCCTGAGGCTGCGTCACGGGATGGGTGCGTCCTCAACCTTGGCAAAATCAACTTTTTTTTCTTTGAGATGGAGTCTTGCTCTGCCACCCAGGCTGGAGTGCAGTGGTGTGATCTCAGCTCACTGCAGCCTCCGCCTCCTGGGTTCAAGTGATTCTCCTGCCTCAGCCTCCAGACTAGCTGCGATTACAGGCACCTGCCACCACACCCAGCTATTTTTTTGTATTTTTAGTAGAGATGGGGTTACACCATGTTAGCCATGTAGGATAGAATAAATTCCTCTTCAAAGGTTTCAGCCTGTAAATTGTTAAGTACAATGAGTTCTGAGATCCTCTCCAAGAACCAACGTATCAGTATGTTCCACTCCCCTGTTCTTTGTTCTTTAAAGTTTAACTTTCTTGTTCTTTACGTCTCCCTGTCCCTAGTTTCAGTAAACAACCTCCTCCTAGCCTCTATCACCTGCTCTGACCTTAGTTACCCTTGGTCACCTGCTCTGTTCTTAGTCATCCTGAGCCACCTGTTCCATAACTGCTCGTACCCCTGCTCTCTTTAAAAGAGCCAATCAGAATTAGCTTAGACTGTGCAGTCCAACCCTAGCCAATAGCAGAACAGCACAGCAGGAGGGGCTACCTGTGTCAGGGATAAGAACCCCTTCCCCTCCCCTGTTTAGGTGCGCTCTCACCACTGCTCCATCCGCAAGATGCACCCTTCTATAGAAGAAAAGTTGCCTTGCTGAGAAAATTTATGTTCGAGCAAAAGAAAATTTATTTCTTTTGCAGCACCAAATATTTATTTCTAACAGCCAGGCTGGTCTCGAACTCCTGACCTCAGGTGACCCACCTGCCTCGGCTCGGCCTCTCAAAGTGCTGGGATTACAGGTGTGAGCCACCAGGTCCAGCCTAACTTTCTTAATTAACTGAAACCTGTCTCCAGATTTTCTGGGTTCACACTCTGTTACCCCAGGTCACATCGACTGGCTTAAGAACAAGCAAAACGACTAATCTTCTCTATTGTTTGACATATAAACTGGGCAGCTCTTCCCAAGAAATCATGAACCTTTATGACAAAGTATACCTGAGGATGCCAGTACTTCCCTGCTCCATCCAGAGCCTACACAAAGAAAAGTAGCACAAACGAAAGAGACAAAAAAGGAGAAACAAGAGGGGAAAAAAAGAGTTCGGACAGTATCATTTGAACATCTAGATCCAGCCATATGATTTACCTTCAGGCATTTGGTTACATGAATCAATAGATTCTTTTTTGTTTTGTTGGTTTAAGCTGGGTTTCTAACACATGCTACCAAGGGCCCCAAGGATGCATTTCTCATTCCTGTTTCTGAGCCTTTGTTCCAGTTGCTGCCTTTCACCTGCCAAATGCTACTCACTTTTCAAAGCTAGTTTCAATAAGGCCTCTATGGAGCATTCCCAAATTACTCCCACTATCACTTATTTTTATTTTTGACACAGCCTCTTGCTCTGCTGCCCAGGCAAGGGTGCAGTGGCGTCATCTCGGCTCACTGCAACCTCTGCCTCCCAGGTTCAAGCAATTCTCCTGTCTCCATAACCTGAGTAGCTGGGATTACAAGCATACGCCAGCCACCAGGCCTGGCTAATTTTTCTATTTTCAGTAGAGACGGGGTTTCACCATATTGGCCAGGCTGGTCTCAAACTCCTGACCTCAAGTGATCCACCTGCCTCGGCCTCCCAAAGTGCTGGGATTAGAGGCGTGAGCCACTGCGCCTAGCCATTTATTTTTATTCTTATAAGGAAGGAGAACACCCCTAATATTGTCTTATGCCAAATTTCTGCCTCCAAAGAAAGAAGGAGTAAAAACTAAAAGGCAGAAATGAAATCCACAGGCAGACAGCCCGGCCGGCGCCCTGGGCCTGGTTAAAGATCGACCCCTGACCTAACCGGTTATGTTATCTACAGATCCCAGACATTGTATGGACAAGCGTTGTGAAAGTCCCTGTCCTGTCCTGTTCTGTTCTGATTACCGGTGCATGCAGCCCCCAGTCACGTACCCCCTGCTTGCTCAATCCATCACGACCCTCTCACGTGGACCCCCTTAGAGTTGTGAGCCCTTAAAAGGGACAGGAATTGCTCACTCGGGGAGCTCGGTTGTTGGAGATGTGAGTGTGAGTCTTGCCAAAGCTCCCGGCCAAATAAAGCCCTTCCTTCTTTTTTTTTTTTTCTTTTTTTGAGATGGAGTCTTGCTCTGTCACCCAGGTTGGAGTGCAGTGGCACAATCTCGGCTCACTGCAAGCTCCACCTCCTGGGTTCAAGCGATTCTCCTGCCTCAGCCTCCTGAGTACAGGCTCCCACCACCTCGCCCAGCTAATTTTTTGTAATTTTAGTAGAGACGGGGTTTCACCGTGTTAGCCAGGATGGTCTCGACCTCCTGACCTTATGATCCACCCGCCTCAGCCTCCCAAAGTCCTGGGATTATAGTTGTGAGCCAGCACGCCCAGCCAGCCATTCCTTCTTTAACTCGGTGTCTGAGGGGTTTTATCTGCGGCTTGTCCTGCTACACTTATACTCTACTAAAGAGTCTGTGTAACCACAAGTGATAGCATATTTTACATAGAACCCACAATCTAGACGAAGACAGTCATTCCTCTTATTAAACACATTCCGCACCACCCCACCTTTGTCTTTGATTCACTATTTCCTCTTCCTTCACATCTCCACAGCACCAGCCCTTGAAATTCAGTCTATATCCCAGCTTCTCCAGAAAGTTCTTGATCTCTGGACTCTTAGTTAGATATATTCACCATACTCAGAATCCCACAGTATTTCATCTGATCTCTTCAATAACAAACATTTTTTTCTTTCCTGCCAAACTAAATTATTACACCTTAAAGGTAGGGTTTGTATCTTATTCATTTACATGCCATTTTCTCTTGCACAGTTACTGTATGCATTTGCACTACTATACAATATTTGTTGAATGAATATAATTTAGAACAAATACTTTGGAAGCCACAGTACAGACCTAGAACTGGGTTAGGTACTATCGGCAATAAAAGTCTTGTCATAAAACATGGTCCTTTCCCAGAAATGCAACTGTCTTATGTTCCCGACGTCAATGTCTTCTGTTACCAAATACACTGTAAATTCAGTGAGACTAGATTTACCTCATATACCTCTTTTTGGTCATGACAGTACCTAAGTTATGCGCAGGATAAAAACTATGCTGACTTGCACTAAGGTGAAAATTTTCCTGGCCAACAACATTTACTGTGCACCAATGATAAAGGCTTTAGTGTTGAGATCATGATAATTCATTCTTATACAATGAACACTGCAGTTGTTTTTAGAAGAAATTATATTTTAGGGGCCCGGCGCAGTGGCTCATGCCTGTAATCCCAGCACTTTGGGAGGCCAGGGTGGGCAGATCACTTGAGGCCAGGAGTTCTAGACCAGCTTGGCCAACATAGCAAAATACCAACTCTAATGAAAAAGAAAAAAAACAAAAATTAGCCAGGTGTGGCGGCACATGCCTGTAATCCCAGGTACTCAGATGGCTGAGGCAGGAAAATCACTTAAATCTGGGAGGCAGAGATTGAGTGAGCCAAGATCACACCACTGCACTCCAGTCTGGGCAACAGAGTGAGACTCTGTCTCAAAAAAATAAAATAGCAGGGCACGGTGGCTCACGCCTGTAATCCCAGCACTTTGGGAGGCTGAGGTAGGCGGATCACCTAAGGTCAAGAGTTCCAGACCAGCCTGACCAAAACCCGTCTCTACCAAAAATACAAAAAAATTAGCCAGGCATGGTGGTGTGCGCCTATAAGGCTGACGCAGGAGAATCACTTGAACCCAGGAGGCAGAGGTTGCGGTGAGCTGAGATCGCGCCATTGCACTCCAGCCTGGGCGACAAGAGCGTAACTCCATCTCAAAAATAAATAAATAAAATAAAATAAAAAGAAAATAATGTATATTTCAAGTCAAAGTAATCTTGGTATCTTTTAAAAAATTAAACATGGTGACTTTCACACATTAAAAATTACACATACATAAAAAGTTAGTCTAAATATGTTTTAAGACGCACGTGTCATTTCCAAAATATTTTTAATATTAACTTGAAACAACACAAGACAAACAGAAAACCAACCTCAGGGCCTGAATGTATAGTCAGGAAACTTTCCACAGCAGTCAAAGTACCTAAAAGAGCAGGAGAATGGTAAAAAGCAAAATAAAATCTAAATTATTTAGGACAAGTAATAATAAACAATGCCTATTCACTTAGAGACTAGCTTTTCTATGCCTACAGCTGACATAGAAAATCTGTACAGATAACAGTTTTATTATGTTTTTGTACACAGACTTAAGAAGTAGCTATGGCCAGGTAAACCATCAGAAAGAGTAGACTAGCATAAACTCTATTCGCTAGTACTGACAAAATCTTTTCTAGTATTTAAAAACTGATGACAGTAAGAATCACCCCCAATAAGGCAACAATTGAGCTCACTCGAATGCTGGTGGCACAGGCCTATAATCCCAGCGTTTCGGCTCGAATGCTGGTGGCGCAGGCCTATAATCCCAGCATTTCGGGAGGTCAAGGCAGGAAGTCACTTTCTTTCTTTCTTTCTCTTTTTTTTTTTTTTTGAGACGGAGTCTGTCACTCAGGCTGAAGTGCAGTGCAGTGGCGCGATCTCGGCTCACTGCAAACTCTGCCTCCTGGGTTCAAGCGATTCTCCTGCCTCAGCCTCCTGAGTAGCTGGGATTACATTTTTAGTAGAGACAGGGTTTCACCATATTGGCCAGGCTGGTCTCGATTTCCGGACCTTGTGATCTGCCCACCTCGGCCTCCCAAAGTGCTGGGATTTCTGGCCCCCATCTTTTTTAGAAAAATTAGCCAGCCACAGTGGCATGGATCTGTAGTCCTAGGGACTACTACTACTCCCGTACTAGGGAGGCTGGGGTAAGAGGACTGCTTGAGCCCAGGAGTTCAAGGCTGCAGTGAGCTATGATCGCGCCACTGCACTCCAGCCTAGCCTAGGCGACAGAACAAGAGCTTGTCAAAAACAAAAAGAAAGAAGAAAGAAGTTAGATCCATGGGAATTATTCTGCTTTAAAATATGACAGCTTTCAAGAGGCTTATTAACAGTGGGTTACAATGAATGTACACAAAAACTATCAAAACACCCTTTGTGATGGCTTATAAAACACTAAGACTACTAAAATGAAACAGAAATAAGTATAAAATAAAAATTGGAAACCAAGCCAGGAAAAAGCAGACATCAAGTGTATTAACCATGAAGACTAATATGCAGGCATAGTGGTTAAGCATTGAATTAATTATTGAGTTTCTCAAGAACAATGAGGCAAAAGAAAAATATAATGGCTGGCTAATTCTCAAAATCTGATAAATGAAATATATTCATTCCTTAAGTGCTTTTAATTCTAAGAGAAAATTAAAACATGGGGCCTTACAAAGTTGACACCAAGCAAAATAATAAATAACCACATAATCAACAAAGCTGTTACAGCAGAAGAGAACTACAGCCAGGTAAACATCATTAGTCTGGCCACAGACAAAAATAAAAAACAGATCATTCAAATATAACTCACTAGAGGCGATTCTGATGGTTACTAAAAGAATGTGGCCTGGGTATGTGGCTCTGTGATCTAACCCCATCCACAGAACCCCTAAAGCGTAATCTAATAAAAGTGGACCACCTGCATCAACGATCAGCTGGCTGACTTCTAGCGTTCAGGATCCGAAAAAATGTTTACACAAACCTTAAACTAATATTTCTCCCTTACGAAGGAAAAAGTCTTATTCAAATAAAAGCAGAGAACAACCTCAAGAAACAGGATTATCGTGAAGAAAACTAAACTTCACAGACTTTAAAGAATTATTTTAATAAATGGAGACATATTAGGTCTAAGGATTGGAACACTGAATATTTTGAAGATGTTCAATTCACATTTCCCTTTTTAATTGGAATGGTTCTAGTGTTTAACTATTCATTACGTATGATACAGGCTACTGCCTTCTGACATTCATTCATTCATTCATTTATTTATTTATTTGAGACGGAGTCTTGCTCTGTCGCCCAGGTTGGAGTACAGTGGCGTGATCTCGGCTCACTGCAACCTCTGCCTCCCGGGTTCAAGCGATTCTCCTGCCTCAGCCTCCCGAGTAGCTGGGATTACAGGCGCCTGCCACCACGTCCTGCTAATTTTTTTTTTTTTTTGCATTTTTAGTAGAGACAGTATTTCACCACGTTGGCCAGGCTGGTGATCCAACCGCCTTGGCCTCCCAAAGTGCTGGGATTACAGGCGTGAGCCACCATGCCCAGCCCTGAAATTTATTATGTAAGAAACTATTCTATTCCTAAAAATGTAAAATCACTAAATGGTGTGAATTCTCAATTTTCAAATCATTTTTTGAGATGGGCACATAGCTGCTCACCTCTGATATGATTATATAACTTCCTAATGCTAAACCTTGGTCTCAATATATTGTTCTTCTAAAATGCCACTGGATGAGCTGGGCATGGTGCCTCACGTCTGTAAATCCCAGCACTCTGCCAGGCCAAGGTGGGAGGATCACCTGAGGCCAGGAGTTCAAGACTAGCTTGGGCAACACAGTGAGACCCCATCTCTACAAAAATTTTATAAAATTAGTTGGGTATGGTGGCATAAGCCTGCAGTCCTAGCTACTTAGGAGGTTGTGGAGGGAGCACTGCCTGAGTCCAGGCGTTCGTTACAGTGAGCTATGGCACAGCAAGAACCTGTCTCTTAAAAAACTTTTTAAATGACACTGGATTTATTAAAATTTTATATAGTATTTTCTTTTTACTTCTAATTTCACAAGCAAGCAAGATCTGTAGTTTGTGTGTGTGCGCTATCTTTGTTGGACTTTGGTTTCACAGTTATGCTTTTTAATATACGCTGGAACATTTTCCAATTTTTTAAGTCTAGAACACTTTATATGGCACTGAAGTCACCTGTTTCAGGTTTGTTTTTTGTTGTTGTTTTGTTTTGTTTTGTTTTTTGCTTTTTTTCTAAGAGACAAGGTGTCACTCTGTAACCCAGGCTAGAGTGCAGTGGTGCAATCACAGCTTACTATAGCCTCAAACTCCTGGGCTCAAGTGATCCTCCTACCTTAGCCTCCTGAGGAGCTAGGACTGACTACAGGTGTGCACCACCACATCTGGCTAATTTTTTATTTTATTTTTTAAAGACGAGTCTTGCTATGTTGCCCAGGCTGGTCCTGAACTCTTCGCCTCGAGAGATCCTGCTGCCTCAACCTCCCGAGTAGCTAAGACTTGGGAGCAAGCCACCACAGCCTGCTCAGGGAATTTTCTAAACCAGACACTCTTAAATATGCAAAACATTAGTAACTTCAAATGTTTTATTGTAACATTCATTATTTTATCCATTATTAAATAACTGTCTCCAATTCTGTGTTCAATACTTTCTAGCTTTGATGGTTAAAAATTTAAAACCTTTTTAAACTATAATATACAAATTATGCTTTAAAATGTGCTGATTCCTAAACAAAGCAAGCTTGAATTTATAATGGTTGCCAAAGGTGTTTTCCAGAAATCTGACAGCTCAAACCAAACTATACTGAGACAATAATATATCACTGTAAAATACAGTATTATCCATGTCTCAACAATAGTCTCAATAGCATTTTATTAAAAGTGCAGCTATATTAAAAACAAAACGTGTGTTTTAATATTACCCATTTATGGCTATGTTTCTTTTTTCAACTAGATTTTAGTTCACCACAGTTACAAACATGAAGCCCTTGCACCGTACTGTTAAGTTCCATGATTGCTTATTGATCAATAATTACCATTCGTTTTATTTCTGGTATATATTACTCCCAGATCTGCCGGAATGGAGTCAAAGCCACTGCTTCCAATGATATAAACCCCTTTGTCTGCAGCTTTCTCATGATACTTCAATTGCATTAGTTCCAGAAACTAAAAAATCCAGGATAAGAATTTTAATTAGAGTTATGCAGAAAGACATAGACCAGTATTAAATAATTTATCTTTAAAAACAAAGCAATCAAACTTTGAAAATGCTAACCAGTGTGGCTCTGCAGCAAAATATTAACTGTCAAAATATTTTTTCACTTATTCAGCAAATACAGCACCTACTGTGTACCAGATGGCATGGAAGATATGCTCACCTGACTTTATGACACTTAATATTTTTAGAATGACTTTTAAATATAAAAGTAATGCCTATTATAAAAAATTAAATAAAACATAAAAAATAGAAAGTAGAAAAAAATTACCCCAAACGGCATTACCCAGATGAACACTGTCACAGACACAGAGCTCTGCACACGCACAGAGAGCAGGAAAGGAGATGACGGCAGAGGGCACAGGGGAATAACGTCCGCTCTGCTCTTCCGCCTGTTTTTAGAAATTACTTTTTAAAAACAATGTAAGATTTACAGAAAAATGGAATAGGAGAGAGTTCCCAAGTACCCTGCAGTCCAGTTTTCTCTACTTTTAACATCTTTTACATGAACGGTTGTTACAATTAATGAACCAATACTGACATATGATTTAATTCGCTAAAGTTCACAGTTCATTCTGATTCCCTTAGTTTTTACTGAACCCCTTTTTCTGCTCCAGGATCCCATCCAGGATTACAGTCGGTTGTTATGTCTCCTTCGGCTTCTTTTGGCTGCGACAGTTTCTCACACTTTCCTTGTCTCTGATAACCTTGATGGTTTTGAGGAGTACTGGTCAGGCATTTTGTAGAGTTCCCCTCTACTGGAATTTGTCTCATGTTTCTCTCATTATTAAACTGGGGTTACGGGTTTTGGAAAGAGACCACAGGGGTAAAGTGCTATTCATTTCATATCATATCATATCATATATCATATCATATCCTATCAGGACTACGCACTGTCAACATGATTTACCAGGGTTCGTCAGGTTTCTCCACTGTCAATTTATGCTCCCTCTTCCAGAGGGTGACACACATACACAATCACACCTGTTCAGGCACATACACAGACACAAACACACACCACATACACACTCATTCATGCACATACACAAACACGAACACAATCACACACACATTTGCTCATGCACAAACACACGTTAACAGTCACACTAACACAGTTACACTCACACATACACACAAACACATTAACACAGTCACACACACAGCTGCTTGCATATCAATGTGGAGAAGTTACATAAATTATGTGGAATTCTTCCACACAGATTTGTCTCTTCTCATCCCCTGCCCTTTTTGTTTTGTTTTGTTTTGTTTTGAGACGGAGTCTCGCACTGTTGCCTGGGCTGGAGTGCAGTGGCGTGATCTCGGCTCACTGCAACCTCCACCTCCCAGGTTCAAGCGATTCTGCTGCCTCAGCTTCCCGAGTAGCTGGGATTATAGGCATCTGCCACCACACCCAGCTAATTTTGTATTTTTAGTGGAGACAGGGTTTCTCCATGTTGGTCAGGCTGGTCTCAAACTCCTGACCTCAGGTGATCCACCTGCTTCAGCCTCCCAAAGTGCTGAGATTACATCCCCTGCCCATTTTAAAAATAAATTGTCTTTATTTTATTATTGACTTGTAAAAATTCTTTATATATTTTGGGTTTTGTTTTTTTTGTTTGAGATGGAGTCCTGCTCTGTCACCAGGCTGGAGTGCAGTGGCATGATCTTGGCTCACTGCAACCTCTGCCTCCCAGGTTGAAGTGATTCTCTTGCCTCAGCCTCCCGAGTAGCTGGGACTACAGGCATGCGTCACCATGCCCAGATAATTTTTGTATTTTTAGTAGAGATGGGGTTTCACCATGTTGGCCAGGATGGTCTCGATCTCTTGACCTCGTGATCTGCCCGCCTCGGCCTCCCAAAGCACTGGGATTACAGGCGTGAGCCACCTAGTCCGGCCCTCTGGTTCTTTATTAGGTTTCTTGTTGTTGTTTTGAGACAGGATCTCACTCTGTTGCCCAGGCTGGAGTGCAGTGGTTCAATCTTGGCTCACTGCAGCCTCCACCTCCCGGGTTCAAGTGATTCTCATGCCTCAGCCTTCTGAGTAGCTGGGATTGCAGACATGCACCACCAAACCTGGCTGAGTTTTGTACTTTTAGTAGAGAAGGGGTTTCGCCATGTGGCCAGGCTGGCCTCAAACTCCTGGCCTCAAGTGATCCACCCACTTTGGCTTCCCAGAGTGCTGGGATTACAGGCATGAGCCAACGTGCCCAACCCCTTATTAGGTTTTGATATTATGGCTGGGCACAGTAGCTCATACCTGTAATCCCAGCATTCTAGGAGGCCGATGTGAGTGGATCACTTGAGGCCAGGAGTTTGAGACCAGCCTGGCCAACAAGGTAAAACCCTGTCTCTACCAAAAATACAAAAATTAGTCAGGTGTGGTGGTGTGCACGTGTACCCCCAGCTACTCAGGAGGGTGAGGCGGGAGAATCGCTTGAACCTAGGTGGCAGAGGTTACAGTAAGCCAAGATCGTACCACTGCACTCCAGCCTGGGCAACAGAGAGAGACTTGTATCAAAAAAAAAAAAAAAACCCCAAGAGATTTGATACTACTTTTATGATAGTTTATAGATGACTTAAAAGGTTTTCACCATGCTCTGGGTTATTTTAAATAACACGGGAATTGTTTTTTGTTTTTGTTTTGTGTTTTTGAAGACAGGGTCTCACTACATTGCCCAGGCTGGAGTACAGTGGCGTGATCATAGCTCACTGCAGTCTTGACCTCCCAGGTTCCAGTGATCTTCCTGTCTCAGTCTCCTGAGTAGGTGGGACCACAGGTGTGTGCCACCAACTCCTGGCTAATTTTTTAACTCATGGGTTCAAGTCATCCTCCCAAAATGCTCCCAAAGTGCTGGGATAACAGGTGTGCGCCCCCTCACCTGGCTTTTTTTTTTTTTTTAATTTGTTTCCTCCTCCTTCTTGAATCAATTTTGGTAATTTACACTTTCTCAGTATTTTCCAGTATTTTACCAATTGATAAACTGCAAATACATATTAGTATCATATTGGCACACTGATGATGATAACCAGTAGTTACTACAGAGACACATGATGTTACCATTTTAAAGGCTGAAGAAGAGCTTAATGCCTGTTAACACATAACTTCCTGTGGTCAGGCAAACCTCAATTGAAGACCTAGTTCTTCTACTTACTAGATGCATTACTGAGCCAGTTATTTAAGCTTCCTCAGCTTTAATTTCCTCATCTATAAAAAATGGAGGAAGATAACTACTCTATACGTATTTTTTAAAAAGTTACATAAAACACTTAGCACAATGTTGGGCATATAGTAAGCATTCAATAAATGTGAACATTTAAAATCTTTAGGTTGATTTTACACTAGTGAACTTTACCTTTATTTTTATGTAATGTTATAAAGGTAACTGATTTTTTTTTTTTTTTTTGAGACAGAGTCTCGCTCTGTCGCCCAGGCTGGAGTGCAGTGGCGTGATCTCGGTTCACTGCAAGCTCCGCCTCCCAGGTTCACGCCATTCTCCTGCCTCAGCCTCCCAAGTAGTTGGGACTACAGGCGCCTGCCACCCCGCCCGGCTAATTTTTTGTATTTTTAGTAGAGACGGGGTTTCACCGTGTTAGCCAGGATGGTCTCGATTTCCTGACCTCATGATCCGCCCACCTCGGCCTCCCAAAGTGCTGGGATTGCAGGCGTGAGCCGCCGTGCCTGGCCTAAAGGTACCTGGTTTTTAAAAGGGAATTCAAAATTAAAACCTTACAGAAGTGAGATTCTAAGAGTCATGCACAGTTCGCTATTTTAATTGATTCAGTTTAAAGCATGAAGTAGCTATCATAAGCACAGACCTAAAAGAAATGATGTTGTAGAGAGGAAAAAAATTCAAGAAAACTGAAGCTAAGACCTTACCATCGGTGCTCTCCTTCGAGCTATCAATGGAATACCACACGCACACCATCTCTGAACGCTAGAGAGGAGCTGTCGGCTTCTCAATAGGTCTGCAAAATTGCACTAAATATTTCCACTTCATGAAACAGAAATGTATGTGTTAATTCTACGTTGTTTCCTTTTCATTTTATATACCTGAGGTTCTCCACTGATGTCGATACAACTGGCTCCATTTTCAATACACGCTTTTATCACAGGTTCTCCATAAAATCGATACTAGGGAAATAAGAAGAAGAAAGAGGTTTATTCTTGCTTGACAAGTTTAACTGAATAAAATGCCATCTAATCCTGGAAGTAAATGGTCCTAGTTATCAAGAAATCATCTGCTAATAAAATAGCCTAAAGATAAATTGAAAAAGTGGCCAGGCACGGTGGCTCACACCTGTAATCCCAGAACTTTGGGAGGCCGAGGCAGGCGGATCACTTGAGGTCAGGAGTTTGAGACCAGCCTGGCCAACATGGTGAAATCCCATCTCGACTAAAAATACAAAAATTAGCCGGGCATGATGGCGCACACCTGTAATCCCAGCTACTTGAGAGGCTGAGGCAGGAGAATGGTTTGAACCTCGGAGGTGGAGATTACAGTGAGCCAAGATCATGCCACTGCACTCCAGCCTGGGCGACAGAGTGAGACTGTCTCAAAAACAAAAAGATAAATTGAGAAAATAAGATAACTGCACAAAAATACCTCGCACAGTGTGAATACATAAAGGCATGATGGAATTACAGAGGAATGTACGCTTACCTCTACCTGAAGACAAAAGGGAAAGTTTCATACAAGTGATTCCCTTGAGTTGAACCCTAAAGAAAAAATAAAAATTTTCCAGGAAAAAGAAAAATCTGGATACAGGAAAAAGTAAATGCAGAGGTGAAGAAAGAGGAGCTGTTCCTGTTACTTGAAGCAGGAATCAAATACACTGGAGTAGGAAGTGGAAAGAGATTAGTCTGGAAAGGCAGGCTACGGCCACATCAGGAAGGACAACATGTGCTATGCTAACAGGTTTCAACTTTATCCTTTCTAGTTTACTTGGCCTTCCTGGAGAATTTTAAACAGGATTGTGGTATAAGACTTACAGCACAGATGATATACTAAAGATGAGACATACCATACTAAAAAGGCGGAAATGACTGGATTTCCAGAGTAGCTGGGCTGGACATGGGGGCCAAGAACCCGTGGTACCACTGGCCAAAATTAAAAACAAACAGGAAGAAGAGAGTATGCAAAGGATAAGTTTGATACTGAACAGAGCAGATATTCTGAGCCTATATGACACTAGATTTCTCGTATTATCTGTTACTCAAACTCAAGGAATTAAAATAAAATTTTCATATGTAAAAGCTAATACATCAGAATTCAGTCCCACTTCCAAAGAAGCACGACAAATCTTTCCCTTTGTGAAGAAGTACATTAGAAGCGCAAACTCCTCTGCTTTATTCATTCCTGGCAGCAAAAGATGCAGGAAGGAAACCGTTTCTTTCTTCCAGCCTTCGAGAAACAAGGGACACTTAAAAGACAGGGCAATGCAACAACTGACCTTTACAAATAGGTCAGATGGGCTGTCCTCTCACCTAACTCCAAGACCTCACGCCTCTTACTAAGAATGGCGGATAGGCCGGGCGCGGTGGCTCAAGCCTGTAATCCCAGCACTTTGGGAGGCCGAGACGGGCGGATCACAAGGTCAGGAGATCGAGACCAGCCTGGTTAAATACGGTGAAACCCCGTCTCTACTAAAAAATACAAAAAACTAGCCGGGCGAAGTGGCGGCGCCTGTAGCCCCAGTTACTCGGGAGGCTGAGGCAGGAGAATGGCGTAGACCCGGGAGGCGGAGCTTGCAGTGAGCTGAGATGCGGCCACTGCACTCCAGCCTGGGCGACAGAGCGAGACTCCGTCTCAAAAAAAAAAAAAAAAAAAAAGAATGGCGGATAACACTGGAATTACAGGACTGGGAGAAGTGTGTGAAATTCGAGTTCCTAGCCTTCCATTAACCACATGAAATGAATGAAGAACTTTACTTCTCAGGCAGTATGGTGTCATGGAACAAAGGATTTCAAGGCAGTGGACCCAAGTTCACACCTGGAATCCATCACCTACTAACTATATGAATTTATTTATAAATCACTTAAATTGTCTACCAAATGAATAAAATACACACTTTAAACATATTTAAATAGAACTAAAGTTGAGATTAAAACATAAGTTGAAGCTCTATATTCTTTCTGCACCCAGTGGATTATCCTGGTTAATCCTTAGGGTTTGCACACATCCATTTTAAAACTCATTTGGAGCTTTCTCGGCCTGTCTCTGGATATTTCACTCCCAAATTTCTCAAGTTGGCCATGAGTCCACCTGCTTTAGAATCACCTGGGTCGCGTGCTGGTCACAGTCCCACTCCAGACCCCCAGAATCAGGCTTTCTGAGGTAGACTCCAGTAACTTGCATTTTAAATAAGCCTCACAGGTGACTCTTGTGTACTTCAAAGATGGAGAATCACTGACTTGGACATTCTCCCAGGAAATCTCACCTACTCTCCCAACTTCAATCAAATCTGTGCTGTGACCTCCAACCTCTACGTCTAGAGTCGCTCACTGAATGGGTTTCCCTCCCTGTGTTTTTTGTTAGAAAGGTCAGGACCAGTGACAGCACAGGACATGTGGCGTGAGTCACACATAAAACTAATTTCACTTTGCCTACATTTTCCTTTTATTTTCTCTTCACCCTGATTTTCTCACTTACTTATAAAACATCATATACAAACAATATATTATTTGTATTTTCCGTCTTGATGCAAGGTATCTAGCAGACACCTCAATTTCAACAAGTCTAAAACTGAATTCATCATCTCTCTCTCTAAACCTATTTCTCCTCCTCCACTTTCTAGCACATGCTTCAGTGTGTAGCCTCTAGGCCGGGTGTGGTGGCTCAAACCTGTATCTCAGCACTTTGGGAGGCTGAGGCAGAAGGATCGCTTTGAGACTCTGTCTCTCTAAGAAAAAAAATGTGTGTGTGTGTGTGTGTGTGTGTATATATATATAAAATACGATGCTGAGGACTATATATATGCCATTTATATATTATATATATCTATAAATATATAATACATATATTATATAATATATATCTATAAATATCTATAATATATATTATAAATCTATAAATATCTATAATATGCATTATATCTACATGTAATATAGATATATAATACATACAAGGACTATATATATATGGCATATATGTATAAACACATGGCCAGGCACAGTGGCTCACGTCTGTAATCCCAACACTTTGGGAGGCCAAGGCGAGTCAATCACTTGAGCTCAGGAGCTAGAGACTAGCCTGGGCCACAGGGCAAAACCCCGTCTCTACAAAAAATACAAAAAGTACACAGATGTGATGGCCCGAGCCTATAGTCCCAGCTACTTGCAGGGCTGAGGCGGGAAGATCACTTGAGCCCAGGAGGTTGACACAGCAGTGAGCTGTGTTCGTGCCACTGTACTCCAGCCTGGGCAACAAAGTGAGACCCCCATCTCAAAAAAATAAAAATACAAAACAAAGTATAGCCTCTAGTTCAGCCTGCCTGGGTCCCACTTCTAACATCTTTCTGATGTGCTCAAATGAGGAAAGACTCTGAGACAAAACCGTGCAAACGGCTGAACAGTAGAGTGCTCTAGAATGTGGGCTTTGAAGTCAGGCCAGACTTACATCCAGGCTCTGCAGCCAGTAGCTGTGTGACCTTGGGCAAGTCACTTTACCTAAGCACCAACCTCTTCAATCAAAGAATGGTGATGAAGAACAACACCCACTTCCTTGGGAGCTGTGAGGATGAAATAAGAGAATACAAAGAGCCTGGCGCAGGGCTAGGCACATGGCACTCAGATGTCTTCTTTTCTGTTATTATCAATGGCATTACTCCCCACATAATTCTCAGGTTAAAACCTGGAAGCAGGCTGGGTCATGCCTGTAATCCCAGCACTTTGGGAGGCCGAGGCAGGTGGATCACCTGAGGTCAGGAGTTCAAGACCAGCCTGGCCAATTTGGTGAACCCTCGTCTCTACCAAAAATACAAAAATTAGTTGGGCGTGGTGGCGTGAGCCTGTAGTTCCAGCTACTCAGAAGGCTGAGACAGGAGAATTGCTTGAACCCGGGAGGTGGAGGTTGCAGTGAGCCGAGATTGCGCCACTGCACTCCCGCCTGGGCGACAAAGCAAGACCCGTCAAAAAAAAAGAAATCTGGAAGAAGTTTCTCACGCTACCTATCCTGGAAGTCACCAAGTTTTATCTATTCAGTCTCCTAAAAATATCTCAAATCAGTCTCCTCTCCCCTACACAATTATATCTTAGTTCAGACCCCATCAACACTCATCTAATCTACGACAAATAGGCCCTAACTGGTTACACTGCAGCCAGCTAGCCCCATCTCCAAATACATAACAAACTGTTATTCTAAAATAAAAATCTGATGTCACCTTTCCTCCTGCCTCACTCCTGTAACATATCCACTCTTAAAACCTGATAGACTGGATTAAGAAAATGTGGCACATAAACACCATGGAATACTATACAGCCATAAAAAAGGATGAGTTGACATCCTTTGCAGGGACATGGATGAGGCTGGAAACCATCATTCTGAGCAAACTATCACGAGGACAGAAAACCAAACACTGTATGTTCTCACTCATAGGTGGGAATTGAACAATGAGAACACATGGACACGGGGTGGGGAACATCACACACCAGGGCCTGTCATGGGGTTGGGGGTGGGGGTGGAGATAGCACTGGAGGAAATACCTAATGTAAGTGACGGGCTGATGGGTGCAGCAGGCCAGCGTGGCACATGATACCTGTGTAATGAGCCTGCATGTTGTACACATGTACCCTAGAACTTAAAGTATAATAAAAATAACAAAAACAAAAACAACCTCTACAATATATAGTACAAAGTCCAAACTTCTTAGCATGTCACAGAAAGTCCTTAGCATCATATCATACCACAGTCCCTTAATTCTCATCTTCCAGCAGTTCTAAATTCCATGTAACTCCCCAAGCATGCTGCTTCTCCACACCCAGTGTGCTTGCTTCCACTGCCTGGAGCATCCTCCCTCCATTCTGCCAGGCCAACTCCCAGCTCCTCCAGGCTCTGCCTCACAGCCACAGGCTCACTCTCAGTCTGCCCATTCCTTACTTTTACTGCATTTTGTCACATCTGGCCCACTTCTTCG